CGGTTCTTTCTGCGTTTACCTCCCCGCATCTTCAGTGCAGAGTTTGTCAGCTCACGCGTGGCCTCTCATGGGTCAAGACAGCTGCTGCGGGTCCATCGAGCACTCTGCTCGGGCAGGAGGGTGTGCAAGCGGGCCGGGCAGCCACAGCCTCTCTGCTTTTAGCACAAAGCAAAAGCTTTCCCAGACACGGCCCTGGCAGACTTCCTGTGCAGCGTGGGAACGCAGGCAGCACCTACTTTGCCCCCCTCAGAACTGTCCCGTTGGCTGCCTTGGTATGAGTCATTGCACTGGGGGTTAACATATTGCCACGCTGAGCAAAGTCAGGGTTTGTCAGCAAGAGAGAAGGAAGATTGGTTGTTGGGTTAGTAACTAGTGGTGCCTGCCACAGAGTCCCATAGGAAATTTGGGTTTTCTAGATGTCGCCCTTTCCATAAACCCATTACTGATTCTGCTGCAACAACTTTCTCTGCAGAGGTTCTCTGAGGGCTTTTGGGGGGACATCTCAAGGTGAAAATCCCAAATGGAGCAGATCAAGCCACTCCTCCTATTCCTACCCCTGAGCTATACACAGCTGAGACTCTAGCTGAAGTCTTGCTATGTAACTGCTATCTTCTTTCTTTCTGTACTTGTTTTCTACTTTGCAAGGAGGAGCATTAAGTTGCAAGGAGGAGCATTACATTGAAGGACGGAAAAAGCACACTGCAGTGACAATAGCACCATCTTCTGTCCAGAGAAACGTCCGCTTCTGAACATGGTAGTGTTTGGTCATGCAACAGCCCTTGCGTTCTGGAACATGGGCGCGTGCGAGATGCACGTGTTTAAGAAGAACCTTTTCAGTGGGTTTTGAGCCCTGTGTACCAGGTCACGGGGGCAGATCCCACATGAATAGACTAATGCCCTCCTGCGGAGGTGAGTGAGCTCTCTAGGGAAAGGATTAGTTCCTGAGACAGTGGGTTGTTAAAGAGTCTGGCTTCCTCAGTTTCTCTCTCTTGCTTCCTCTCTCACCATGTGATCTCTTTGCACACACAGGCTCCCCTTCTATTTTCTGTCATGAGTGAGCAGACACAGCTGTCCAACCTTGGACTTTCCAGCCACCAGAATTGGGAGCCCAATAAACCTCTTTTTAAATTACCCAGCCTTAGGGGCTGGACCGTGGCTCACTTGGAAGAGTGTGGTGCTGATAACACCAAGGCCATGGGTTCGGATCCCTATATAGGGATGGCCGGTTCGCTCACTTGGGAAAGCGTGGTGCTGACAACACCAAGTCAAGGGTTAAGATCCCCTTACCGGTCATCTTTCTTTTTTAAAAAAATATAAATAAATAAATAAATAAATAAATTACCCAGTCTCAGGTATTCTCTTATAGCAACACAAAAGGGACTAAGGCAAAAAGGAACCAAGGTTATCCATCTTTAGAGAACTCATGAAAAAATCTAAAAATACATGGTGTAGACAGCTAACACCCATGCATTTGAGGTATGTTGGAACCAGTGTCATCAGAGCCCAAGCGGGGTGATTGTTCAGCTATGGGAGCCAGAGGTGCAGGACAGATATCATACCAGAAAATGACTCCTCAGAGGCCACTGCTGGACACTCATGTGTCCNAGGCTCCCCTTCTATTTTCTGTCATGAGTGAGCAGACACAGCTGTCCAACCTTGGACTTTCCAGCCACCAGAATTGGGAGCCCAATAAAACTCTTTTTAAATTACCCAGCCTTAGGGGCTGGACCGTGGCTCACTCGGAAGAGTGTGGTGCTGATAACACCAAGGCCATGGGTTCGGATCCCTATATAGGGATGGCCGGTTCGCTCACTTGGGAAAGC